ATATGATGTAATATCATATTATGATGTAATTTGCCACCTCAATTTATTATTCTTTCCTTGATTAATAATTTATACAAGCAATACTATGGTGGTAACCTTATTGCTGTAACTCTATTAGAAAATAAAGTTTGAAATAAACTTTTATAGAATAAGGTTTGAACTGATCCAGAAAGGGTTATAGATCAAACTTTATATTTAATCAAGATTTATGTATATGACTCTGTAAATGTTATAGAAGTTATACATGTTATACACATGTTATATAAGACAATATATAGTATATAAATTTGATTATATTTGAGAATGTAATATTCTCACATTCTCACATCCATACAGTAAGAATTATGACAAATTGACTGATTGAAAATGGCATAATTTCAATTGAATGACCACTCTATAGTTCTGATCTTAATTTCATTAAACACTGTTGGCTTCATGTCAAGAAACATGTATATTCACATCATTCAGAGCTGGGAAAGTTACCTAAAACTGAACAAGCAATTACAGAAGCAATGATTCAAGTAATTACTGAGACATGAGAGACTCTCTCTGATGATTTCTTGATCAATTTAATTAAGAGTATGGATAATTGGATAAATGCAGTCATCCATGTGGAGGGTTGGCAAACTAGATACTGAATAATTGAATTTATTTAAATATTAGATATGTCAAAGTACTCTAGTTTCTCTACAAACTACTATGATTTCTAAGTATTTGTACATAAATTGAATTTTTTAGTGGTCGTTGAACCCAGGGGTTGTTTTCCGAGGGGTAGAAATTAGACTTCGTGGCCAACACTTTTGAACGGTGACTGTACATCATGCTTTTATGGGGCCTCTAGGCTCCTTTGGTTCCCCGAATCTTAAATAGCCCCATCCGCCGTTAATCATGAAAACGCAGCTAGGCTTCTACTTTGGTCGGTTACAGTCTTCAAAACATCACAGAAAGTGACAGACAAAGTCCACTTGATGATAAAACAAAGCGTAATGGACTTGGATTAAATGCTCCCGTATCTTTTGATTCTAGTCCCTGCTTGGAAAGCAAAGCCGAAAGCCTGGATGACGCTTCGCCATATTTAGAGTCGCGTAAAACGCCAAACGGCTGGAGATCTGTGGGTTTGAACCGTCCTTCCTGGTGTCCCCACCTCATACCACGGCCACACCAAGTCGTGGCCGAAGCCAATGATGTCATCTAGAGGGTGGAACGGTGCTTACTTCTCACACTGAAGGAATTGACAGCCCGGGGGGCTGTGTGCTGTAACTATGTACAGAAGTGTATGAGGAGTCTTCTCAGCCAGATCGCTTCTTTGGTTGCTTGTGTCTGTCCTAGGAATTCGGCTTCGCAGGTCGATAGGGCAACAACGCTTTGGCGTTTGGATTGCCAGCTGATCGCTCCACTGCCGACATTGAAAAGATAGCCTGCCGTTGATCTTCGAGTGTCACGGCAACCCGCCCAGTCTGCATCTGTGAACCCTTTCAGCATTTGAGGATGGCCCTTGTACGTAAGCCTTAGGGCCTTCGTGCTTTTGAGGTATCGTAGAATACGCCGGGCGAGCTTCATGTGCTGTGGGCCGGGATTGTTCAGATACCTGCTTGCGAGGCACATGGTGTATGCGATGTCCCTCCACCGATCCTGATCAATCATCTTTCAGCTGCTGGATCATAAGGTCAGAGTAGTCTCGGATCGGATGTTCCTGCTCATGCCATGCTCGATTTGAAAATTCATGAGCCAACAATTTTCAATGTCGTGGGTGAACAGAATTGTCAAGTGGGGGTAACTATATGGTCAGCAAGACTGGTATCATTATTGAGCTATATCTATAAACATTCAGTCAAACTAACAAGGGAGGACAACACCCCAAGATACGCCTTGCAAGCAAGTAATTCCGCTTTGTCCATGACTCTCCTAGTCGCAAGTAAACCAGTCAGGTCAATTACCAGGAAGAACACAGTTACCACCATGGCACAGCTAATTTCTCCCAATTCTTTTCTCCTCGCGTATTAGCCAGTTCTAGATCACGCTTCATAAGAAACATGCGTCTCTGTCCGCAGAATCCTCCCGGCGAAGCTGTCCTTTCAACCGTCTGAAATGACCCCCCATGTCCTATTTCATGGTTCTTCCATACCTTCTGCTTCACAAGCTGACCTGGTCTGTCTAACCGGCGGGGATTATATTCTGGATAGCCAATTTTACTGACAATCCACTGTAAATTGTGAAATATCCGTTCAAATCTCTGAAAAAAGCCAAGCCAGTGCCATGTGTTCCAGGTATATGCTACCCTGATGTAAGGATTGACAAATACACCAGACCCTTGTTTGCCATTTGGTTCACCATAAGCATCTTCCAAGTCCGCAAATATTAGACAGCACTCGGCTCCTTCCCAGAAAGGCTCGGGCTCGTGACGAAAGCGGGATTTTATACTGGGAGAATACTTTGTTGACATGTTTTGGAATTGCACAGCATCAAAAGATACCATGCCACCCCAGCAGCTGCGAACCGGCACAGCATCACTCTCAGCAAGAACAGCATTTCGACTCTGTGCACTGCCTGTTGGTGGAAACCATGGGAAGAACATCAGGCCCATACCATAACCATTGGTATCACGGACCACGAAAGAGTCATAAAACATTACATTGGAAGTGAAATCAATAGCGCAGGCAGCTCTATATTTGTTTTGATTTGTTGAGAAGAGCAATTGAGCAGCATCAGTTGGGGAGAAATATATATCATTAAGAAACAAAATGCGGTCAAACTTCATGGTTGCATGGTGAAAGCCCACCTCATGCGGATGGGGGGTGTATTTGAGGTTCAAGGGTCTAAGAGCGCGATTTCGTACTTCGGCAAGGTATGCTATTCGCTTCGTTCGATTTTCCCCTGATGGTGTTGTTATGGCGGGAAGTTCTGATAAAGGGATATGGCCACCTGTGGCTACAGAAAAGTTACCTGATCGTATCTGTTAGCTAATGAGTGATGGGACCGTGCATGAAAACATTGCTAACATGGCAGTTTTTCTTGAAAGTGACGGAGGGCATCCCGCGTCCCATTGCCACTGTCATTCTCATATATGCTTATAAATACGTTTTCTTCTCCAAGTATATCAATCAATTCTAACACTGAGCGGCCCCATGGTCCTCGGATCAAGCTCGCGTTGATAATGTTGGCCGCAATGAAAATCTTCTCATTATTTGGATTTCCTCTACCGGAATCCTTTGAAGCATCGATTTTTCGCCGCAGCTCTTGATAGTGCTCGGGTGGAGTCTGGTACGAAGGATATAATAATGCTTCTAGTGCTGACAGTAAAATAAATGTTCCTACTAGCAATAAGATGACTCTAAAGACGCATCGGAAGGATCTCTTCTGGCAGTTGCAAGTGGTTTTGAATGGCTTTTCAATAAAGGATATTACTGAATGTCCCTGCCGGGCGTAATATTTTGCCAAGCGCCTTATCCTCAGGAGTCGGTTGGAGGTCATGGGATGGATATGATCTGGGGGTTTTGGGAGAAGGGTGACGCGATCTTCAAGCTCATCTGAGCTATCATCTATAGAGTGGCGAGGAAGAAGTTCAAATGAAGAGCGAGACATAATGTCGAGGAAATGCCGCTAGATCAGAATCAATCACTCTGGCGCAGAGGGAAGAGTGAGAAACTGAGATGATGCAGAACTGAGAGCGTGAGGCTGACAAGCCATTATTATTTGACGATCATTTTGTTGGCCACCTGACTAATAGTTAACCAGTGTTTTTCTTTTTTTTAGGGAGGACATGGGTTAGAGGCACCGCCCCTTTTCCCCTACTCTTTGGCATAATATAAAGGAGCCAGTGCGGCCACAACACCATAAATTTTACCACAGCATGAATACCATTTAATAAAGTCTTGACATTGAAATGCTCCATTATGTCATGACAACTACGGAGTATGTTGTGCAAAAATTCCATCTTTTGAATAAATATTTTTATGTTCAAACATTTTTCATGGAAATCTATTTTTTCATGTGTAACTTATGACACATTATGCAAACACTCCTTTCAAGTCTTCAGGAAAGATTACTTTATGATTCTGATTAAGCAATTTATAGCATACATAATCTAGGATGTCTAGCAAGCATTGCCTGCATGTTTAACTCAGCCGTCTTCGGTATGACAAGCTATACGGAGTGCGGGCAAGTCGCAGGTGCGTTATAGAAAGCATTCTATTGGGTTCTATTTTTAGATTGTAACTAATTCCAAGACCCATATTTTATAGCAGCAAAGGCGATATGGATTCACATAACTCCTGCAAGTAGGGCAGAGAGCTGGCTCATTTGGCTACGCGCTGCTGCAAGCCATACGCACTGACCGCAGTCCAAATCAATACATATTGCCCCAGTAAACTGGCAGAACACCCAAATGGCCCCCATTCTGGCGGGCAGTACGGTTGCCGCTCTTCTTAAACAGCATATATATGGTGCTCTCTCACCGACCTCACTTCGATGAGACAAAATTTTGGCCAACTTCCATCCCACTGATCTTGTTAAGAATATGCCTTATTTTCCTTGGATCATTTCTGCAGTGGTTCTTATTCTTGAGAATAACAGCGGCGCTAAAGCGCTCAAACGCACCGTTGGACCTGTCTCCGATCTTACATTTGCGAACCTAAGCAGAGAATGCAATGGATCTGACCCAGAGTTGTTCAAATGGGGCAAATGTCCAGGACTTATAAACTGTGTCTATTCAAAAATGGAACCCAACTATTCTCTAGGCACAAATATCGGCAGTAACATCGCCGGCCTTCTGCCAACAATATTGGTTCTGATAGGTCTGACTCGGCACTTCCCTTTTAATCAGTGGCGCTGCTACTTTGTTGTTCAAGATTCTGGCTGTTTTTGCTCAGGCACTTACTGAAGACTTGTCTGGATTTTAAAAATAGGTGCCCCCCCTCTGGAGCTGCTACAAACCGCCATCCTCTCTCCTCACCGTGCGCTAGCGACATGTTGTTTTACGATTGGCCTTCCTGTTACGCTATTTCGCCAACTAAGACCTTTGGATCAGCAGCTAGCTCAGTTGAATCCGCTAGACCCGCGCGTGCGAAAATGGAAGTTCAGCTTATCAAGTCTATCAAAAGGGCCCACAAAAGCGTCGAAAAAGCACGTTCTATTCAAAATTGTCGCTGATATGGTGATATTGATCCTCACTGGAATCATGGTTTGGAAGAATATAAGCCTTAACAGCTATGTGATGGTTTCATGGCGTTGCGAATACTCATTTCTCGTCATTGCATGGTAAGTTCAAATACTGTCAATCTACTTCATATCCATACAGGGAAGTGTTAATTGATAAATGTTAGGCCCGCTGCTTGTGTGGCCTGGCTGCTCTTTGCTGTCAGTCTTCTCTTTATAATGAAGGAAGAAATTGTGATTCATAACACCGAGAATCCACATATCAGATACAGCATATGGAAGCTTATGACCCTTCCCTATACACTCAATATGAAACCGACCTCCAATACAGATTCTCCGCAAACACAATCTCTGAAGTCAACAAACATCTTATTGGAACTACGTGAAGGCACTGGACCTGGAGCCATTCAGGCGACTATATGTTCTGTGGACATGATACAACTTGAGGAGAAAAATATCAAGAGTGTGATTCCAGTAAGTCGATCAGAGAAATACGTCAGCAAAGACCACTCTATTACAGTGGAAATAACAATGCCAACTGATTTTGGCCTACGGAGCTGGCGAACACTAGAAACTTGTATTGAGATTGTTGCTGTAGGTGTCTATCTTTATGCAACATTCACATTAATGAGTTTGACTTTCTTGAGCTCGGAAAAGGCAATGGTTTTTGCTACACAAATGGCAATTTGCTTAAGTTTAGTGAGGATTTTTGGATTGTTGTTCTAGTAAATGTTGTTTCTTTTTCTTTGATATTTTCTTTGATACTTTCTTTCCACATCTTATTTTTCTGCTCATACTTCTATAACTCCAGATACTTTGATACCTCTTTTCTATTCTAGACTTAAAACCAACCCATGTTACAAGGTCCCTTTGGGATCCCAATGGAACAAGACTGAATGTCAATCCCAATTGAGTTGATCCCAATCTCTTCCCAAAATTTGAAAATTAGTCCCAATTCCATCCTAAAATATGAATAAAAGGCCCATTCCCTTCCCAGTTTCAAATTTTATATTTTAAGTCCCATCTTTTTTTGAGTCAAAGCTCAATCTTTCTGCAAATTGAAAATCTTCTGCTCAGCACAGACAGCAGTGACAGTATGAACAGTATGATGAGTGATACAGTAGATGTGATGAATGAGATGATGTTCTAAACATGTCTGTGCTGACTCAATCTGCTTCTTCTCTCCTCACATGCAGGTTTTGTGATTGAAGAGACATAGTGGGACATGACTCCAATGTATTTCATTATTAATTTGCGATATACTTCGCACAAAGCAACCCCCGCGATCAAGTCCTCCCTTTGCCGTCCGTAGGTTTCTAGGTCACCGATAGTACTGACATGTTTTATTGAATGTCCCGTTGACAAAGTCATCTTTCTGTAGTTCAAGAGATACAAAGTCAGTTAAAAGCGGGAATCTCTGTGGAGGAAGCAGGGGACACGGACCATAAAATCAGCCATCTCGGCCATAAGCTCCTTCTCACCCGCGATCCAGCCCTTCTGCCTCTCTTTAACCTCTCCATCAAATGTCTGTGCCCTGTCAAAATCTATCCAGATTGCCCTTTCTGGATCCTCTTCCACAATCATCATATTCCTGGGATGAACATCATCGTGATAGACCAGTGCATCATGGATTGCATTCAATCCATCAACAAAATTTCGCATCCTGCTTTCATTGTAATCGGTCCATCTCAACTCCTTCATATTGGGAATGTACTCTAGGAAGATGGCTGTGGGCGGATATTCATCTTTGACAAACAACTCAAGATGTGGTAGGCGCTGCGTCGGATCAATATTTTCAATTGTTCCATAGAACTGAGGAGTTATACCCCGAGCACAGACTCCAGCGTGTGTCAAACGTCGATATGCCGTCGATTCACAGGTAAAGAGATTTGTTTCACGGATCTGCGAGTCCCATGGTTGTTTAGGACCTTGGCCGCGGTGCTGTGGAAAGTGTTGGAGAATCCTTCTGCATAGGAGTCAAGCCAGTGAGAAGTCCAACCCACCATTTTCATGACACATGTTTTGCCTCTGATAACCACCAAGAATATCACACAATAGTCCCGTTTCGCTAGCCGCTCCCGGAAGCTGATCTCGGTTACTTTGACATTCATAAACTCCATTGCAAGTGTTGAATATTGGCCGAGAAGCAAACCTGAATAAACGGAAGCTGAAAATCAAGCAAGCAGTTTGTGGAGCATGTCTAATAGCAACGCTGGATCCATGGTGGCAAGAACTATGGATACATGTGATCAACTGATTCTTAAGTCCCGGGTGACCTTCTCAAACCGCCTAGAACCCAAGCGCAGGAAATGGCACCTGCATACACAGACCGTAAGCGCGCAGTTCTTAGCCAACCAACCCATGCGCCGCAGAACATCCCAGTCTCGTCAATCCCGCATCGGGCGCCCTTTGACCAGACCTAACAATAACTGCCCGCGCAATCCCTGCTAGTCGAGGAGATGCAAGCTGAAACTGTCCCATTTAGCGCGTGTTCACTAGTCACTTGTATGGAGATGTGCCATTATCCTCTATGAATAGTGAGGATGTAGCCACTAGCCGGCATGGCTCGTCGGCTGTCAATTTTGTTCCCAAGCGGCGGGTGGCCCGGACTATATCAGGAGGGGATGGCCGTTTCAGCAGACCCGGCCCACCCAGACAGCCTGTGTAGCTGCATTTGAGGTTGATACTTACATAGCCTTTCCGCCCAGAACCGCCTTGGAAAGTCCATGCAGCGGTTCGGGATCGCCAACCTTGACAGCACAAGCCATCGGCGCAAAGAATGCGCTCAAACCCTCCACCTGGAGATGGTCACCGGCAACAGTTCGATTTCCAGCCCACATTATGAAGGGATGGCCGTTCCTCTGTCCATTTTCAGATAACCTGATGGCGGCGCAATTTTTGCGTTATCTTGCTGTGCTTTTCACGCAGCCTTGCCTCGCCATTTGCGCACGGTAAATCGACCCATTTCAAATCCGGCATGTCGGTCTGACAATGGACCGTTGCCTTACCAATTAGGAGTCCTGATTAACCGCCCAGTGCCAAAAATAGGAATCTCAAAAAGATGGATAGCCGGCTCAACTCAAGACCGTGAATTGAAATTCAAGTATAAAAAGCTCAGCTGCTACAAGAAATCTAGAGTTCAACCATTCGATCTGTTGATACCAAAATTGAAATACAGAATCCGCGCTTGTGTGTGTGTGTGTGTGTGTGTGTGTGTGTGTTATTCATTATTTTTCCTAGGCTCTTATGGAGTCTTAGACTATGAAGAGCCACTCTCCCTAATCTGGCTTAGTTACAGCATGTGTCTTGATATCTGAGCTTCCACCACTTCATTCTGTTGAAGTCTTAAACTGTAGTATGTTCAGAGGAGATCAAGACATTATCTGCAGAACGCGCCGCCTGACAGCTGGAAATGGGGCACGGCGCTGGCAACAGGTACAGCCCATGATCAAAACAAATATTGACAAGTTCTCAGCCAGGTGAACTACTGTATGAAACAGCACGGATCCCGCTATGGCTTGGTGCTTACAAACAATGAACTGGTTGCTATCCGAAGACTGGATAATGACGGCATTCTGGAGCTCTCGGCGCCAATTTTTTAAGAGAGTCATGGAACAGCCGCTCACCCGCATCTCATGGTTATGCTAGCTCTGTGGTATCTCGGCATGCTTGCTGCGCAGGATCTGGGTCAAGATCGGTGGCATCTATAATGAAAGTTCAAGGAATGATTACTGTGCTGAGCATCAGGGAGTTGGAGAATTGGAGAATGGTTGGCGAAAGCTCCGATGTAATCTTTTCAGGGAAGGGATTGTAGGGCCTGTACTCCATACTCTGTACAGTAGTTAGCTCTCGAAATTGGCTCTTTCAGTTTCCCAAACCCTAATGCCAACAAATACTTATACATATTAGGACTAGCCCAGACTAACCCCTGATTCCTGAAACTTTGTCTGGACAGTGCCTGAACAGTATTGTTATGTTAATATACCATTGGTATCAGCAGTGGTGACACATTTCTAACCTCCTCATTGGCAAAAACTGTGGGCATCAGATGTGGATAACCTATTGCCTGACTGGGCCTAACTAGTTTACAGGCTAATGTCTGGGCAGAAAGCATATATGAGAGCCTGTCAGGTGATGAGTCTTCCAAATCCAATGGAAGGCCTGAGCAACTCAGCAAGCCAAAGGCGGCCTTAATGCTTCTTAGGTTGAAAAATTAACATTTCACACGCTAACCCCTCATACTATCGCTTTCATGTAACTAATCTACAACATTCAATTTTCAGTACAGTTATATTCCTTTCTCCCTTTCTCATTAACCCTGTCTTGATATTTTTGTTTTGGTCGCTGTAGCAGTCAAAATGTGGGCACCAGTAACCCTCCCTTACAGGAGTGAATCCCCGTCTATACCCCGCATACCTTCTACAGACGAAATACGAACCTGTTCAAACATTATCTGGGAGTCCGCTGACACCAAGGTCGTGGCGGTAAATGATGAGATTGTGGTTAAATTTGGTGTCTTACCTGTACATGAAGGCGAGGCTCTGATTCATCTTGAGCGACATGCCCCTCAAGTGCCAGCTCCTCGACTATATGCGATGTTCTACGATGATAAGGAGCTTTTTCTTATAATGCAACGCATGCCAGGCGTGCAGCTTGACAAAATATGGTCTTCATTGACCGAATCCGAGAAAGATGACATTATCAGTAAACTTCACCGGATATTTGACGACATGCGACTGATTGAGTGTCCCCAGTTTGATTTCTATGGGAACCTGAGTGGCGGTGGTGTTTCACATTATTTATTCTACAGCCAACATTCCAGCGGCCCCAGGCATTTGGGACCGTTTAATGGTGAAGCTGCTTTTATCGCTGGCCTTGTAGGAAACTTTCGAGCTCTGGTGGAAAAGAATCACCGCCCGGACTTTCAAGTCCGCTTCTATGAAACTTACCTTGGCCGCGTATTTCAAGGGCACCGACCTACTTTAACCCATGGTGATGTGCAGCAAAAGAACATCATGGTCGCAGAGAATGCAGCACGGCGGAATAGTCAAGGAGAGCGATCCTTTGACGTCGCGCTTGTAGATTGGGCGGATGCAGGATGGTACCCTGAGTTCTGGGAATTCTTTTCCGCATCTATGCTTTTTCGTTTGGTATACTGGGAAACTGATTGGTGCTGGAGAGCCCAAGAGTTTCTTCAAGTTTACCCCGCTGAATTGGCCTTAATGCGCATGTTTGATAAAGATTTTACGGGTTGGTATGGTCCTTAATTTGAAATTTATGGTGAACGCTGTTATATCAAAACTTAAACTTGGGTTCGAGAATTGATAGTATAACTTCTCTTCTTAGAACTCTCTAATCTTATACATCACTGCGCAAAACGCCAGCGTTGCGCAACGCGGGAATTGCGTGCTGATGCACCCATTCATTGCACTTGAAGATGGGACGGCGCACTTCACCAGGTTCATAGCGCTCCCCATCCTGCCTCACCCAAATGATTTCATGGCGGTTGGTAACTGGGTCCTTTTCCCAAAAGTTAATACCCTGTTGTCTAGTTGGCCTTGGTAGAGCTTGCAAAATATTATCAAAACTTCCCAGGTCGAAATCCGCCTTCCGAGCCCATCCGATTTGCAGATATCTGTGCAAATGGGTTGTTTTATCGGGAAAAAAATTGTCTCGCCGTTCATACCTCATGCCAAGAGCTGAGATGATGTCGCCGGTAACATGGAACAATGGTCCCATGTTTTCATCCGGGTATAATTGAACAAAGATTCCCTCATGGTATCGTTTGACTGGATCGAGGGCGTCGAAAGCCGCCGTGTCAAGCTCCACCGTGAAGACCTTGTAGTATTCTTGCTGTTCTGTAGCCTTTTGTGAAAGCCCTAAGCTGGACATGTTTGCGTTTGGAAGCCCGAGTCAAGTTGTGAGAGTGTCGGTTTCTAAGGTAGATGTAGTCAGTTGCCTAGGTCCCTATACTAAATATGGTCAACAGCTAACTTCCTGTTAACGAACACCCACCTGCTCCCCCAACTATTGCTAGTGGCTGGTTTTTCGGCAAACCAACTGCTATTGTCCGTGAAGGCCTCCTGCTTCGTGGAAAGAGTTGACCTGTCTAACTAACAACGAATGACTAGCATAGTGAAGCTGGCACTCCGTAGAGCTAGATGGCATAATTTTTTTCTATGGAGAAGTGGGCATGATATGGCCCAAGGTAGTATTGTAGCCAAAGCATCAGCACGGAAAAATGCGTTTGCGGATTACTAGCTAGTTGCTTCCTAGGAGGGGTCAGGTGGGCAAAAACGCGATGCTGCCTTGGCGGAATCCCCCTCCCCCATATTGTTGTGTCTGCACTCTTCTCCCTATCGCATTGCACTGACCTCAATGCATGTAGCCAACTCATACCTTTACTCCTCTAACTGAGATATATCGACCGTCGTTCCAATTTTCGTAGACCGCGACCGCAGCCAGAAGGTTGGTACAACGGCTTTGCAAAGCCCCTTGCTCCAGGACAAATGTTTCCATAGTGTAAACACCATCGACCGCAGTGACGAGTATTTCCGAGCAGGAGCCAGTAGCCTAGGCGCGATTCGAGGCTCGTATAGGGTTCGGAGTGCCGGAGTTTGAAATAGCCCCTGAGGAGCATTGGTTGGCTGGTCAGCTGCTCTGCATGAACTTAACTAACTACCAAGAAAGCAGGCGAGCGCTGCGGTAATCACAGCCGCCGTCCTAATGCCACTCTTCGGTAGTTTCTACAGTGGTTATAACTAACTAATCTCCAGCTGTGAGTTGATTTTCACCTTACTTACCCTCAATAATAGGGACTTAACCAAGCAGCAGGCGGACGGCCCGTGAGAAAATCTTTCCGCTGCAAGGGGCATCCTCCTATGCAGTTAGCTCAGGCTCTTCCACAGACATTCAGCCATTGAGCGACTGCGAATAAGCGCCATCATCTGCACAGAGGTCAACTAGTTAGCGAGTAACTCCATAACTAGTTTACCAGTTAACTAGTTACGAAGTACCTGTTTACTAGTTATATCTCGCCCGATTGGATTCGTATTCAATTACTCTCTTGCGATTGCTGGAACTGCGGTGCCTTGGCGATACTTCGACCAGTGCGATGAGGTCGCTTTGTCAGACTGACAAAGCTGGCCTGGAACCCGGTGGCTGCGGGGTCTAGCCGTCAACCGTCAATCGAGGCAGCCGAGCTTAACGTTTCGTGGACCTTGCCCTGTTGCCCGAGGCTAAGCAGCGGCGTGAATGATGCTAGCCCACCTGCGCAAACAGTCCAAGCTTCACTCCCTGTTCATAGGGAGCGAGATCGTGGCCAGACAACGCGACTATCTCAGGCAAACCTGGTATATCGACGCCTTGGTGTTAGCTAACAAGCACCTCTTTTCCAACGGTTCCGAGGTCGCCGTCTTGGAGCCGCTTCGGATACTCGAGCTCAGTTCTTTCGGCCGACTCTTGGAAATGGCTGTGAGAACCCGCCGCCCTATACCCCAGATCTCAAAACTTCCCCGGACCGGCAGCTCGGAAGCTTTTCTGGGCCCCAGGACCCTGGATAAACGGCCTCGAACTGCCTTAGCTCGCCGCTGGCAATCCAGGCCTTACGGGCTGATTGTGAGAAAAACTCATGTGAGCTGGTCAAAGACAATTGATACCAAACTGTGTTTACCGTGGCTCGCCTGGTGCGCTACTCCACCTACTCTGGACCAACATGAAGTATTTTTTATAAAGGGCAAATATCCCCCCCCCCCCCCCCCCCCCCCCCCCCCCCCCCCCCCCCCCGCCCCTTTTTCCCCCCACACCTGACTACATCTATCATTTTTCACTTCCTGTCTCACTTCATCTATACATTTGTATATGATTTGACT